GTGTACACGATCAGCCCAATAATCAATCAATACGAAAACATGTGTTTCCGATATCGACATGTTCCCGATATGTTTCCGATATCGGGGTGTCCGGTTTCTGACATCGGATACTATCTATCGAATGTGGGTATTTATTACTGACATCGATCCTATCTATTCGGATATTTAAACCGCTAACTGCGTGCATATGTTTCCGATATCGGGGTGTCCGGTTTCTGACATCGATCCTATCTATTCGGATATCTCAATGGCTAACTGCGCGCCTGCCGCCGGCGGCGGGCGCGCAGTTAGCCATTTAGATATCCGAATAGATAGGATCGATGTCAGAAACCGGACACCCCGATATCGGAAACATATGCACGCAGTTAGCCATTTAAATATCCGAATAGATAGGATCGATGTCAGTAATAGACACCCACATTCCATAGATAGTACCGATGTCAGAAACCGGACACCCCGATATCGGAAACATATCGGGAACATGTCGATATCGGAAACACATGTTTTCGTATTGATTGATTATTGGGCTGATCGTGTACACTTTTACTACTACTAGACCTGTCATTGGTCCCTGGGATTGGAGAGAGGGAAGAGGCCCCGCCCTGCGGCTTTGTTATTGGTTGAGACTGGCCCTGGGATGGGAGAGAGGGAAGAGGCCCCGCCCTGTGGCTCTGTGATTGGTCAAGACTGGCCCCGCCCCCTTAATAAACAAGGGGGCGGGGGCCAGCCCCCTTGTTTGTTTCTGGCTCAATCGTGTATCATATAATACTACTCCCGACTCATCTTCTTTCGGTTTCGTTTTTCGAGAACAACGCGCACGTTGTTTAATAAATGTTGTTGAGTTTATTGAGCTTCAGCGACAGCAAAGGCCGCCTGTAATTCCGTCTTCTAGTCCAAACATGCAGAACATTTCGGTTGCATTGACGTTTTTGCCCTTAACTTTATCAAATGGGCAAACGAAGCTGCCAGAAACACCGAAGTTCCGGAGCAGTGCCAGCAGCGCTACGTGCACTGAGTAAGATGGCCGTCTCCAGAATGCGGGACCCACGCGGAAATACAGTATCGGAACCACGCGGAACTGTGTCGACGTTTTCCACGTTATGGAAATCGCAGGAACTGCGTCCAAGCCAAGGAGGTCTTGCAGCCGCCTGCCTGGGTGCCTTCCGTGCTGAGTTCGGTTCTGTTTTACGATGACTAGTGCCGACCGGCAATCAACGTGGTTCTATATTTCAGCGTGTCAGCAACATAGCAGGAACATCGTGATGGGAGTGTTGTGCGTTGTGAACAGAAGACTGGAACTATCGCCGATGTGGCCGTGTGTTCGCGTATCAGTGGCGTAACGAGATGAGATGACGTAAACTGTCAGGCATTGATGCTGTTGGTCGGGCCGTGGTCGGAGGGGGCGGGGTGTCGCAGGTTGACATCCCGCTTTACATTGAAGAATTTAAAACCACTTGAGGGATTAGGTGCAATCGATCGATGTGCGCATAGTCATCTTGAAACGCCGGTCTGAACAGCAAGCTCATATATCGTACAGTGGTCAATGTGACTGTCAGTTGTCTCCTCCCCGAGAGCGATTGCGATCTTTGGAAAGGACTGAACAGTAGGAAATTATGACGGAAAGTACGTATATATACAGTGCAGTGTTGCGGAGTTGCCACTCCGGAGTTGGAATGATTCCGGAATCATTCCGCATTTTCGCGACCCCGGAATGGAATGAGAATGAAATGGTGGCAATGTTCAGGGGAATGAAATGGGAATGGAATTAGATGGCTTTGGCCCGGAATGGAATGGGCCAGGTTCTTTATATTTTATTTATTTACTTATTTTTTTTACGTTCAGCTCTACCAAGCCAGTCAAGGGGTCGGTTGTTCAGAGATAAAATGAGCCCGAAAATGCGAATCCGCGTAAGGCCCTAGCAGATTTATAAGCAAAAAAAAAAAAAATGCAATACAAAAAACAAGCGTCAAAGCAAAGAACAGAGGGGGAGGGGGGGGGGGGCGGCAGAATGCGTCTGCGCCTGTAATATTGCTCGGCTCGAGGGTACGTCATCAGTCCACGTGAACGTGACCCGCTGCGCTGGTGATCCGATACCCGGAAAGGAGGGCAGAGGTGGCCTCGCTGTGCAGACCCAGACTTCGTACACCTGCGACTCGTCACGAGTGCACTGTTTCTCGGAGAGCTCGCACCTGTGCCGGCCATCTCAGGTCGTAATCCACGAGGACCCTGTTTGAATTATGCTAGGCGAAACTTGAAGACTGCCATTCATGCGTTGGAGGCGGAGAGTCGGCAGGAAGGACCGTCACAACAGGGATGCCACCGTATCGATTTTTCAACCGTAACAGAATATAAGACATGTGCTTCAGGATGCGTCAGGAGGTCCGCTTTTCTAGAGAATTTCAAATGCAACTGCCTGTACGGTCTTCAACGAGGTCACCTACAACGAAAGTATGTGTTGTCCAATGGCGTACCAACTTGGTTTTGAATGGGGTAGGCAAACCAGACCCTCCCAGTGTTTGACCAGTGGCGGCTGTTTTTGGCAAAACACATGCCTTGCCCCTCGACTCTCAGAACTGTGGGGGGGGGGGGGGGGGGGCAGGCGAGTGCCTTGACCCCCCCCCCCCCCTCCCCCGGTTTGTACACCCATGGTATTGTCCGTTCATACAGCAGCGTGGGTAAAGTTTCATGTTTAAGGCAACACCTACATATTCAAGAATACTAGTTTATTCCACCGTGACGTCATGGGATCAGTGCTGACAGGGGCGCCCTTATTGGACAGGGAAGTGGTAATGTTTTGATGGAATTTGTTAAGAGGTTGAAGTCTTTTCGCAGCATTGGTAGGTCGGACGGGGTGCCAGGGAAGGGACCGCGGTCAATCCTTGATGGAACGTTTTTTAATCCCATTGAGGACTCTTCGTCCGGAACCACTATCTTCATGGCGGAGTGCCAAGCCTGCGGGAAAGTAATTTCGGGACCAGAAAAAAAAACAAAAAAACTTCCACTTCAAACTTAAAGCCTCATCTCAGTTGGCATCTCAAAGAAATTTGAAAAATGTATTGCATTCTCAGATTTAAATTTTGCCCTCCCTAAAATGTATTCTTGTTTTTGTATTTCCAAAAACTTTTTGCCTCTTTTTAAAATGTATTTTCGATACGTATCGCGATACATTTTTACAGATATATTTGAGACTTGAGTATCAGTATCTTAGCAACTATTTTTATATATGCCAGTATTTGTATTTCCAAACACATTTTTCAATATTTCTGCCCCACCCTGCAACGCAATGCAGCTGTCAAGTGCCAATTTTTACGTTTAGGAATTAGAAGAATGGAATGGAACGATTCAGCGATTCCAGGAATGGGAATGGGCCCAGTGTCCTCATTCCTAGGATTTGAAAAGAATGGAATCACCGAAAACTCTAATTCCCGGAATAGAATTGGAATGGAATGGGGGTGCCCATTCCGCAACACTGATACAGTGTAGAATTTTAGTAGTAAGCAAGAATAATAGGTAAAATAAAAAAAAAGCTGCCGTTTATTTTGCTCTTTAAATATACTATACGGTTCGTGAAGAAACTGCCCTCCAAGTGGCGCGCTGGGATGAGCGCTAGAAATTTTCGGACTCACCACGGCTTAGCTCCGTACATTTACCACCTGCCGCAAGTCACGGCTTCTAGCTGAGTGAATATCCGCTCTACCGAGATTAATTCAGGACGGCAATTGCAGCCGTGCGCGAACTGCACAAATAAAAAAACAATAAAAAACAATGAGAAAACAACAACACTACAATAGAAATACTGGCTACGACATGCCTTGCGGGAAAACAAACTCATAGCTTGGAACCGCATTAAAGCGGCTTGATTTATTGGCCTTCAAATAATAACGGCATCATCGAGCGCTTTCTTTTTATTAAAAGATTCATCCCCTGAGCCATTCAAAATACTCTCAGAATATGACATTGCTGGAAAAAAATCAACATGCTGGGAACATTTTTTTATTGTTTAGGCAGTCACCGAGAAATTCCGTACGTTCAAAACCACCAGTATAAAAGACGGAAACGCAGAGCTCGGGTGCAGTGGAGAGAAGACGAAGACCCTGACGAACGGACGGTATATTGACTTCCTCGGTGCTTCTTGTCAATAGGCCTTCATTTCTGGTCCGTAGGCTTACGGGTCCCTTGCGGACCTGGCCGCAGCCTTGGGCCGCCCCTACGACGGCGGTGGGCCACAACAGTCAATGCGGGCCACGCACGGCATTGAAATGACCGACCTTCCCGAAAATCAACTTTTAAGCGCGGTTCAAACAGGCCTGGAATGCAGAGACGGGAGCCGGAACCCGTAGTGGCGTCAGCGCTCCCTCCGTACGGGCGGTGACGTAATTACGGCTTCCGGCATCCCGATTGAAGAGTTGAAAATTTTTCACCTTTCTCCTTCCCGGGTCGTGACGTAGGTTTCTGTATTTTCTCCGCGGCCAATCAGCGCGGAGCGCTTCCCTCCGCCGACCCCCGCCCGTCTCCGATGCGAGGAAAGCTGCTTAAGTAGCAAAGAAGAGTGCCGCTGCCGCGAAGAGGGCTGAAGTTGCCGCTGCGTTTGACGTACCCGAGAAAACCGATAGATTAGAGAGTTTTAGTATATCGTTCTGGCTTTCCCGCTACGGTATCCGCAGTCCGCTAGGACCCCCGCAATATGTACCGTAGCGGACCCACGCATTCATGTTTTAGTGGCGCGTTCGCAACCTTCGCAATTCGCTATCGTTGCGAGAGCTAACGCAACGCCACAAGCGACTCTTTCAGACACTAAAGTTTACGTAAAATAATTTATTTTAGTCTAATTTTTAGTAATCGCTTACTAGCGTCACTATTTATATTTTATATTTCTTTTTAAGTTGACTAAAGTGCTCATATCTGCATATTTTGTAAATGAGCACAACTGATAGTCACGCTGGCCAATGCGATCCAATCTATGTCAAGCCAGTCAAGCGTAAGGTAGCCATCACAGCCATTCGGCCATCCCTCGGACGCTGCCGCCTTGTCGTGACTCGTGTTCGTGCCATCGTGCCTCTTGCTATGAATCGCCGCGGGATCTTCTCCGACCCGCTAGTTCTCTCCGCTCTTAGCTGGCGCGAGATTGAAGACGCCTATTTATTACTAGAAGAACCTCCGAACCGCCGTTTCAAGTCCGAGCGCGGTTTGTTGAACGTAGACCGTCTAGACGATGAAATGTTTAGAAGTATGTTCAGGTTCAGGAAGGAGCACATCGGAGAGCTTCAGCGTGCTCTTTTGATGCCGGAGACGATCACGTCGGCGCAAGGTGTCCAAATGGACGGAGAGGAAGCCTTGTACGTGACACTACGCCGTTTGGCTTACCCAAACCGATGGATCGACCTTGAAGGGGTCTTCGGCCGTCATTCGAGCGTGCTCTCAAGCGTCGCCTCGAAGGTCATGCTTCACATCAACAACACCTTCGGGCACCTGCTGGACGATCTAAACATCCACAACTGGCTCGACGTGGCAAAGTTGGAGCAGATGTCTCGGGTAAGGATCTCCACACCTGGCAAAACAGTACTCGTACAGTGGCGTAGACACGAAAGGTGTTCAAGGGTCAAAACACCCCCCGAAATTTCAACGTTCCTCTTTACCCCTTTCCCTTTTCCCCCTCTCAATTTGTGTGTGTGTGTGTTTGTCTGGTGTCAGTTTGTGTGGGTAATGTTTACAAACATTACCCGCAGACAGTTTGTGTGGGTAATGTTTACTAATGTTCAGCACGCAAGTCGTGAAAGCAATGAGTTCAATAGCCAAGCCGTCACTTGACGTTTTGTCAAGAATGATTATTGACATACAACTTCAAGCGTGTCCTCAGGGTCTCCAACAAGAGTTGGCACATTTACGTCTGGCGGCATCGTCCTCCCTAAGTGAGGACGATGTTGTGTCCAACGTTAAATAAACTTTCTGGGGAAGTTCTGGTTTGGACAACAGACGTGGAAGGACCGCACCACTTAGCACGTCTCAGCGGTACAGGCAACTTGCTTTTGCCCGGAGGCCTTGTATCCTAATGTAAACCGCCTGCTGCGAATCCTAGGCACCGCACCTGTTAGCACTGCTGAAACGGAATGTTCGTTCTCAAGACTTCAAAGACTCGACTCATAGTTAAGAGCTTCATTGTCCCAATAGCGCTTGCTAGGGGTTGCGCTTCTGAACATGCACCGGAACATCTAAGTCAGCCCCGAAAGTGTCCTCCCGCCAACTCTATTGACCCATGGCGGCTCCCACTAAATCTTTAGACCCCACAAAATGATTGAAATCGGCACTTTTTTCTGCTCCTTTTTCGTAAAATGGCATCAAAGAATGTAAAGAACCCAAAGCATGACCATAGCACGACCATTTCTGAAAAATGTGATCTACGCATGCAGGCACATAGGCAGGAGTTTGTTTCGGGGGGGGGGGGTGTCGCGGGGTTGCCCATGACAAAATGCTGCTTGAGCGGGAGAGGAAGTCCCAGGAAAAGGAAGAGTTCGGGGGGGGGGGGGGGGGGGGGGGGAAGGGCCGCATGGGTCCCCCCTGGCTACGTGCCTGCAGAGCCATATATGTAGATAGTTTGGTCAATGGGAGGTGCGGGCAGAGCCAGGGCGTGCGGCAGACTCGGAAAGAGGGCTTGGCATGCTCTCCTGACCAACCAGAAGCCGAAAAGAATCCCCTAGCGGTGGTAGCGAGAAACAGTTCTGATCAAAGGTATATGCTCGTAAAAGGTTAAATAAGCGCGTAAGAGTAAAGTGTAGTAACTCTTTGTGGTTGAAAGTGGGGTTCACGTGTTGTTTTGATCATAATTATGCAGAGAGATGTAAGAAACGAATGCGCCGCGCAACTCTGTTTTGCGCGGACAGAGTGTGACCGCTCGGACGGCAGATTCTCGGCGCTTGGCGTACGGATTATTTCGATCGTATCGCTAGTCGCACTCTTCCACCATCATTTTGGATGAGCGTGATTGAAACATCACATGTACCACATTTTCAGCCACCGAGAGTTACTCCAATGCGGTTATCAGGTTTGTTTCTCGCGACCACCGCCAGGGTATTATTTCTGGCTTCTGGTTGGTCACATTCAAATTTCTGAAGATGCCCTGGAACACGCCCAGCTTGCTTTCGGCCAATGGCGCCTCCTCATTTGTCTCCTATACTTCCCAACGAATGGCCAAACTCTCTACATATATGGCTCTGCGTGCCTGCACACAGGAACAATGAGCATGATGTTTCACCTGCTCATTGCCCCAGTGCACATTGCAGTTTTTATGTTTAATCATATTTTAAACTTCACTATTCTCTGGCACCCTTCTGTAATTTTTAGTCATTGGATACCTGAGTGTTCCGCAGAGAAGTGTATGCAGACGAAAAGGCAAACAGCGCACAGTAAACGAGGACTAAAGAAAAGGGAAGTGCAAACAGGACAAGTGCTGATCAGTATCAACTAACAACCCACATCGCCACCCCTATTAAGTTGATGCACCGGAATATTTTGTGGGCCTGTCTGGACTTTTTTTGTTCACAGCCCATTATTATATTTTATGATTGTGTGTCTTCGTTGTTCACCATTAAAGTTTCCCTCTTTAAAGATTCAATGAATGAGATGTGGCAAAAAAGGTTGAATTTCTGTCTTCTAAGAAACTGAAAAATACTAACAAAGATTGTGTTTGTGCAATTTCTTTTCCTCTCTTGTTTTCTTTTTTTTTCATTTTGAACAGTTTGAGCAAAGAAAAACGCCCACTGAAAAAATTTTCTGGGTATGCCTTGCCTCGTCTAAAACTTCATTCTGCTTTCTACCAGGCGGTCCATGCAAAAGGAGCGCCCCTGACGAACTGTTGGGGATTCATTGATGGCACGGCACGCGCCATCTGCCGCCCCTCAGAGTCCCAGGAGGAGTATTTCTCTGGGCACAAGCGCCACCATGTGGTAAAATACCAATCAGTTATGTGTGCAAACGGAATCATTTGCGAGCTTGACGGACCATACAAGGGACGTCGACATGACTCCGGTAAGTGTTGTTGCCTGAGACCAGCGATAAAAAGAGGGTACAGAGCATATCAGTGTCTCGAATGGGAAATTTGAGTCAGAAATAATTTCTTGAAAGGGTTGTGAAACATATGTAGAAAATTCTGAGCTATATGCTTATTTGTAATCCTGATTGTCGTGGCGGTGCCACTATCGTATGGTGGCGCCACTAGCACTTTGCATGGCTATAAAAGAGAAGAGATGATAAAGATAAGGAATCCTCATTGGTACTGAAGGAGCAGTGTCACTTTGGCTGCTTCTGCTGTGGCAACAGTGGCGACGAGAAGGCGATAGCATGAGCCTTATGGTGTTTCCCTCATTCCTGCCTGCTCCTGGAAAACCTTCTATTCCGTGGAAACAGTGGCAACGTGTGTTTAACAACTACTTGCTTGCTGTGGGAGGCGGCGCCCACTATCATGCTCGGCAGAAGGCCCTACTGCTGCACTGCCTCTGGGTTAAGGGCCAATGGATCTTCTACACTCTTTCGGAGACGCGCCCTCCGATACTGGGACTGCGTGAACCACCTCGGCATGTTTGCTCGAAGCGCTAACCGCGGCTAAAGTCAGCCGCAGTACCTAGGAGAAAGACGTTGCCATGCCGACAATTATCGCGTTCATTTAGGCTTAGGAATGGCCAGAATCGAGAGACTATCTAAAAAATACGGCCAGGTCATTGCTCATGCTTTGAGATTTAAGTAAGTAACGCAAAGCGAAAGCGTCTTCCGCCATTCGCTGACTTACGCGCCCGATATTGCAGCTACAACGACATATCAGTTGCAAAGCGAGAGGCGCTCACTCACCGGGGCATCACCATGATTCCCCGCATCCCTACCGAGCCAGTCACGTGATTTTAAAAGCCCTCTCCTAGGTACTGCGGCTAACTTTAGCCGCGGTTAGCGCTTCGAGCAAACGGGCCCTGAAGTCCAAAAGACACCCACTGCACTGGACAAGTACGATATCGCTCTGGCAGTCCTGGGGAGCTACTTTGCGGCAACTTGAAACGTGTCCGACGCACGACATGGCTTCGGGCAGCGAGTGCAGCTACCTGGGGAATCCATTGACACATTTTTTGCTGAACTACGGGACCTGTCGTCGACTGCGAGTTTGTAGCCATGGTGGACGACCTCATCCAGGACCAGCTAGTTGCAAAGACGTCGATCCACCAGCTACGAGAGCGGCTGCTCCTGGAGGGTACTTGTCTCACCCCGGACCTTGCATTGGTCATCGGTTGTTTGGTCGAAGAAACAATATGCTATTCCAAGGAACTTGTATCAGCTTCAGCAATGCAGAAGGTAGACGCTAAGCCTATGCGGAGCGCCAATCAACCATGGGAAGGTGAGCCTCCACCCCCTCTGGAAAGAAGTTCTACCGTTCTAGGTCGTCGGGACATCTTGCGAATTTTGGTACATGCAAGACAAGAAGGAAAACATGCACTGCATTTGGAACATTCCGGCATTTTCATGCTGTCTGCATGAGTACCGCCGTCCACATTAATGAAGTCCGCGCCATCAGAGAAGTTGGCTGCTTGGATAGCTGCGAGGATGCCGTCCTCAGTATTCCACAGGTACACGAAAAGCAGTATCTCCATTTCTCTTCATGTCGAGGGGACGGTGTTATATATTTTGGTTTACACCGGGTCAGCAGTTTCGATAATCTCTGAAGATACATATCAGAAGAATTCTGATTCTTCGCTTCGGCTACAGGAATTGGCTGTTAATTTGTTTGATTTTTCGCAGCGGAATATTGGAGTGACAGATTGTTTTGTTGCCGTGGTTGGTTACAAGGAGTGAAACGTTGACGTGCATTTCTACGTCCTATCGAAAGGCACAAACATACTTGGAATCGAGGCCATCGCTTGTTCGCCCCTCAAAGTCAATGGTCAGGCATTGAAGTGTTTCAACACTACGTGTGTGCTACTGCTCCATGGGAGAAACTTGGAATCAAGATTGTGGGACCTTTGTCATGTGCGCCAAATGATCACTGGTATGCCATTATGTTAATTGACGAATTCATTAAGTGTCCGGAGGTGTGCCTGATGAAGAGTGATGTCGGGAAGTATTGTTTCTTTTTTATGGCCGGTGTTTATTCATGAGGGCTACCCAGCCAAACTTGTCAGCGATCACAATCGTCAGTTCATGTCTGCCGAGTTTGAAGTATTCTTGAAAGATCGGGGAGTGAAAAACACCTTTTCCTCTGTGTATTATTCTCAAAGCAACGGCCAAATTGGGCATTTTAAACGTGTATTCGAGGACTTTGTGCAACTCAGTGCCCACGAGCAACGGCCCCTGAAGGAAGCTGTGGTAGAGTACCTGGGTGTCTATCGATGCACTCCTCACACAGCCAATTGTGAGAAGCCAGCTTTCCTGCTGCACGGACACCGTCCCAAGACGAAACTGGCCATTGTGGGGGGACCATCCAGAGACTTCTTGAGGAACCGGGCAAGACATCTTGCAAGCCTACGAGAGCATATGGCCCAGTACCAATGGAAGTCCAAAGCATACACGGACCCGCCGGGGAGCCAAGGTCAGCCAGTTCGAGCCAGGAGAGAAAGTTTGCATCAAGCTCCCAGTGCACATTCCAAAAGGCCGCACCAGCTGCTGGGCTTTCCAAGAAGGGGCAGAAAGTGTCAATATGCAGCGGCAAAGATCCGCCAATGCAAGTGTTTATTTTTAGGCGGACGATTCTGATGCAAGACAAGCTTAATTCTGCGGTTAAAAAATTCACTAAAACCCCACATTTCTTTTACGTTTAGGGCGCCACAATAGAAAGTTCGCCCAAGCGGTGAGGTTGTTGTCATCGACACCATAACCACATTGTAAATTCGGATTTTGCGAAGTGTTTAAAAACAACACAAGGCTCATTGTGTAGTGTTCACTGGTGGTTGCAGGGTTTTTCATTTACAGCCTTGATGAAACAAAAGGCAAAGGGCATCGACATCACGAGCGAGTAAAGCCATTGCAAAAGCTTGCACGACCATAAACGCGTTATGAAAGTGGAGTTACCTGGCAGTTACAAAATGTGTCCTGCAAACTTAACATTCTGAGGCTGTATCTTGGGTGTTAGCTTTGTTGAGGTTTCACTAACACTCCTGCTTTCTACTCCTTCAGCTGCCCTGTTATGGGGCACACCAATGAAACAATCGCCAGGAATTGCTAGAAACCGCCTGAAAAGTGGTTGCAGAAATAAAGAAGGGCTGAGAGACAATTCTTGCGAATCAATGAGGCGGCATTAGCCATGATCCTATGGCTTGCAGGGCGTGTTACATGAGAATGGCTATTACAATAGCATGACATCAACAAATTGAAATAAGCTGCTCATTTCACAAAAACAAATACAATGGATATTTGAGAACTATAAGGGCAGGCCTCAAGACCTCTCCATAGACCCACCTTCCAGCAACATGGCCAACTAGAGGTTAGCCAAATTTATTGTTTTAAGTTATTGGAAATAATGCACAAATTATGCCAGATGACAACATTTATAGACGCACATTCAAACATCTTCCCAATTAGGCACAAATTGTATAAAGTCCGCAAAAGACTTCACAATAGCCAAAAATCCTTAGTAATATTGAAGGTCTGATGTGCTTCAATAGCCCTTCAATTCAATAAAAGAAATTGAGGGTGCTTTTGGTGGGCACTGACATATATGTAGCTGTAGCTTTCTGATCATATTTTTCATGAGTTATGTTTATGCTTCATATTTATGTTTCTGTATGTTAGACTTATTAATGGGCTTAGATGGGCCAGTTGGTACATTGCAGATGTGTGAATGATTGAGCCAGTGAACACGCAGCATCCACTAAGACGACACCGTCAGGGCATCTAGACGTTCATTGCAGCAGATGCTCTTGCACCCCATCATTCAACAGCACACAAATTTTGGCAAAATACAAGGTGTCATGCAAACTACATAAGGCTTTTGAGATTAGGGCTAGGGGAAACAAGTGCGCCAGCAAAACGTCTTTGGCCCTATGTACGTGTGAGTATGAGTATTTAAAACGTGAGCTGGGTAGGGATTGATTGATGACTGTACGTCCCCGTTGGGAATAATAGTGCATACTTTTTCGGTACTTTATACCCTTTGCTAGACTTATGTTCTCAAATTCTTTTACTCTATCAGTAACTGTTCTACAGCTGTTTCTTTTGTTTTTGTTGTTGTAGAACATGAGGTTTTCTTTGTGCAAGTTTTTGCCTTTTGCTACACACAATGTAAACTGCCTCTTGCTAGAACTGTAAAAGGCGGCAGAGTCCTCATTACGCACTGTGGCTTAGTCTCTTAGCACCTCCTGGTCAATTGGGAAACAAATGAAAAAGGAAGGAAAAGAAAGACATGCAAATGTTGTAGCTTCCCTGCATTGCATGTGTGCACTTCTCTGCAGTGCGCAGCTGTATTGAAAAGAAGGAGACTCGAGGGGGCATACAACAACAGGATCTACAACACAGAAAAAATGCCGTTAACGTCTCCCAACTGCACTTTTGAAAAACTGGTGAAGTTCCAAAAAGAATAGTCCCTTCGTTAAATTACCCGAGCACCAAGGAGCATGCTGAGAGTTTAGTTACAAGTGCTACACATGATGTCTGCAGCAGTAACTTTTAAAGCGAAAATATAGACCGACACGCTGTTTACAAACAAGCCCGCCTTTGCCCACACCAGGTGTGGGCACTGCGCGTGAGCAGAAATCGAATTTGGGAGGAGTGAAGCGTCTGCGCATGGCGCTGTGCCGCCGACAGCGCCACCGCAGCTGCATGACGTCAGGGCCGCTTGTTGGTCTATAAAACAAATGGTACTTTGCATGTCTGTTTGTCAATGCCTCATTTTGGGTATTTAGTTAAACTTTCTTAGATTGCTAAGGAGAGCGCATGCAGTTCATATACATCCCCAGAGTGCTCCTTGGTGCTTGAGTAATTTGGCAAAAACAGTTGATTAGCGAGGGCATTATGACTAAATCAGCAGTGTCCATAATCCATATGTGGCTGGGTCATGAGTGATGGCTTGGAGGAGGAGTTTTAAAGCTTGTTTTTATCTGTGGAGCCCTCAGCATTATGAACACAATTCGCTGTATGGCGATGGGATAGAATTTAATCAAAGTGATGTTGACTTACCTTACAGGAACCTCATGGCATGTCTATACTTTATTTTTTACTCCGGGTAACTTTGTTAATTATTTGTATTGCCTGCAGAAATGCTCCACTTATTTGTGCTAAAACTGAATGTAAATTAATTGCAGATGATTCACACTTAATCTCCTGCATCAATTCATTCCCCTGCAGGTATGCTGCGAGAGAGCCAGCTGTACGACAAATTGTTGCAGTTGGTGGATGGCCACTCATATGTGCTATATGGTGACCCGGCCTATCCCTTGAGGCCACTTCTGCTCAAGCCTTATGGCTCAAAGGCGACCCCAGCACAAGTGGAATTTAACAAAGCGATGAGTACCGTAAGGCAAGCCGTCGAATGGGGGTTCGGCAAGGTTGTTGCCGAGTTTGCCTTTGTTGATTTTAAAAAGAATCAAAAGATCCGCAAGCAAAAAGTGGCTCTCATGTACAGGGTGGCTGTCCTTCTGTCAAACTGCCACACCTGTATCTACGGAAGCCAGATCACTAGCTTTTTTGATCTGGATCCTCCGACACTGATAGAATACCTCCAGCCCATGTCTAGGTAATAGCTTTTTTGGTTTGATTTTATGTGGCATGAAAGGCTGGCAAATTGCCGATACTTAAAAATGACAGAGTGCCTTTTAAAAAAGCCTCACATTTCTTACAAGTGCAGAACCCAGGGATCCTGGGTTCAATCCCCGCCCCTGCTCGTTTCGATCTGGATGAGCATCGTACCGGCGTGCGGTCGCGTATCACTACTGCGTGGTGCACGTTAAAGACCCCAGGTTAGCGGTTGTACCACACTGGCTAAATTGCTCATCTACAGCCGAGACACCAGATGCCCACTGAGGCAGACTAACTTCCGGCTGTATAAACATACACACAACAATTTGCTTTTTGCTTACAAGTGCACTGCCGTGAATAGTTGTGCATGTGACAATACCCAACTATACTTTGTTCACCCTTCAGCTGAGACTGCAGACAAAGTGCAAGTGCGAGCTAGACCGCACTCCTAGCTTCGAGAGGTGCATTTCTAGCACGAGTGCTTTTTCTGCTTTAAGAACACTTCACAGCAGCTACCCCGAGCTCTCGTGTTTGTGGCATTAGCTGCAGTCTCAGCTTAATGGTAAACAGAGTATGGATGAAGCACAAGGCAATTTCAATGAACTATGATGTAAGTGGGATAGTGCGTGCCATTTTTACAGTAGCAAAATAGATGACAGAAATAGGTGTCTCGTTGCCAAGCTTTCCAAGTAGCAGCTGATTTTCCTTCAAATCTGCTTTCACCTCGTCGGACTGTGCCATCCAACATGTTTATATTGTACAGTGTGTCTACCTGTCCTCAAGCATTGTACATATATATTTTCAGCAAAATCAAAAACTTGCAGACTATATCAATCTACTTTTTTTCTTCTTCTGATGTGTTCATGGTTAAAACAAGATTTGCCACTGCAAATGGCGTCCTTTATTACTGGAATGTTTTGCAGATCATATTCAATAAAATTTGTCATCTCCATTTATTGGAAGTAGAGCCACAAATCTTCAATTCCTTTTGGCCTGACCGAGCAGGAACTCGAACATGATCCGTCGCTGTTCGGAGAGCTCGCGCCTTTCCTCGGCTCTCGCCTGGGCTTCCTCGGCAAATCGTTCACGCTCAAACTCCAGCCGTTTTTCATCTAGAGCGAGTCTCCGCTCTTCTATATCGAGCTCCCTCTCTCGAATGGCTCGCTCCTGATGACTGCGCTGCTGCAAGAAGGCGGCCACGTCCCCATCGCGAGTTTTCTTCTTTCCTGCAGAAAATCATGTGCAATCAGGAAAAATGACAGCAGAGTGAAAACAGTTCTGATATGGTTCACCCGTACAACGATAAGCAACTGGTTGATTATAATTTTCTGATATGTTCTCATTAGAATTAAATTGAGGAAGAAAACAAGAAGGACGGACGACCACAAACTTCTATTGGAAGTTTGTGGTTGTCCGTCCTTCTCGTTTTCTTCAAGTTTAATTATCCTTACCAACCGGCTCGTTCTGTCCTTTCTGATAAGAGGTGCACCCCTGCTTTAAAAGTGCCTTCCACACATTTGAGCCCACATTTGTAGCTCTTGTTGTACCACCTTATTAAGATGAAACTGATTATTGCAAACCAAGCACCTCAAAAAGAATTAACTCACTCGGGTGGGCATTGTCAACAGCTGTAGTGAACATATTTAACCCAATCACTGGCAGCTAATGGAGTCCCCAGGCAAAATCATATTTCATTCACTATGCTTTGAATGTAAATTAAAAATAATTGCAGCCGTTGCACATGGGATACCTAATGCCGGACCGAAGAACCTAGGCTTCAGCACACGTGTAGGTACAGTGCCAATCAAAATAGTGAAGCCTCACTAGTGTGGTACTGCCTGCTGCTCAACCTGCCTTTTTTTGTTAGTCCTGCCTCAACACTGCTGCCGCACTTTATCCAAAGCAACGTAAAGGGCTGTCCAAATAGGATTAATTTCCGGCCATTTGCTACATTTGCCGTGACGGAAGTGAAGGCTTTTTTACAATCTATATCCGCCTTCATAGTGTAAAATACCGGACAAGCGCCCACTAAAAATTTAGAGATAATCACGAAAAAATGGGGGATTGGCACTTATCCGGTCATTAATTTTACATATAAATGTACTGTGCATATTTTTTCATATCTTAAAAATTTGGATATGGGTGCTTAATGTGGAATGGGCGGATGCGCGGTATTCTATGGTACATTCTTTTTGCCGCGGGGAAAGCAGGCTACCACAGGGAAGCTTTTCTCCTGACAAAAAGAATGTATGAGAGCAGATGGGAACCGTAGGAAAACCTCCACTGCAGGTACAACAAATGCCACGAACGGCAGAAAACATGCCGTTTGGACAGCTCTTATAGGGAGTTTGGGCACTTTCTGTTGATGGTTCACACACTCAAAACAATGAGGTGCTCAACACAGGTGCTTAATTTAGCTTGTGGCATGTAGGTAGCTACATAAGCACCCACTCCTGCAGCTCTTTTCAGCACTGTGCTACCTACTTCGAATTGTTCTTGAAAAAAATGAAATTCCGACAAGCTGCACCCATGAAAAGCAAACAATTTCCAGCAGAAAGAGCTTAGTTTAGACTACTTGCTGAACAACGCAATTAACGAAACATGCAATTTGAGGTTCTTCGTGCTTGGGAAGGCAAAAGTGTTTGACACCGCTCAATTCAGCATGCTTCCTTCCAATTGATTGAGAGTCTTGATGTCTAGTACAAGACTTGCCTGGAGTAGAAATTACTCAAGTAAGATGCAAGTGGTCCTGGAAACACTGCACAAAAAATAATCATAAAATGCTTAGTGAATATTGATATTCATACCTCGCAGTGCCGCAGTTCTTGCCCTAGGTGGTGGTGGTGACCTCGTCCGATCGGACCCATTGGCCCCATCGGTGGACGTCGACTGCGAAGGGCCTCCGGTGGCAGGCGTGGCAACTGCAGGCGTGCTTCTGGCGCCATTCTCACACATCTGCATGAGTAGAAGAGACGCTGGAGACTCCTCACCTGCACATAACGTGTGAAAGAAATTGAGTGAAATCACAGTTTTGGCAACGCTCAGCCTCAAGCACAGGGTTAACCTATTGTGAACCGTGCAAAGGCATTGTAACGAATGCCAGAAGCATCTGTATGTGGCACACTACACAGGCTGAGGTTCTCTTCTAGAGCCTCTACAAACGAAGCAGAGAAGTGTAGGAGAGGCTGGGAGAGGGAGGGGGGGTGCAATTGAAAAGGTTGGCTCGGGGAGAGCTAATGGCCTTAAAGAAGGCAAGTTTCTGGGTGAATTTTCTTATTAAGGGTCCTTCCAGACTACAGGCAGCCTCTCGAGTTCTCTGTGGCTTGTGAAACTTCAAGCTTAACTATAAAGATACCTGAATCGCCTTATAAATGTATGAAACTAACACCATTCGTTTTTGTAACAAAGTATGTCATCACACATTCCAGTAGAATCAAATTTTCATCTATATCTGTGGACCAGTGTTTGCTCTGTTCGATGGGCACCGCAATGTTTGTTTATGCTGATGCCACAACACTGTAAAGGGCTGTGATTTTTGCAAGACTTCGTGTTTTTCTTTTTTAGAAACCTTTGTGCATACCGTAGTTCAAGAATGTCGGAAATGCATAGTGATGAAGCTCCAAGAACGACACCGATGCCAAGAGTGCTGCGAAAAGCAAAAATCTTGTTTTATGCACAGCCCCTTTCTTCACAGAAGCCTGCAATTGAGATTATTATTCCCCATTTTTATCACTGGAGACTAGGATTTCGGACGCTGGTCTATGCAGATTATACTTGCCCATAATGTTGTCCGAATCTTCGTCCACTACCTCCTCTGCGTTGGCTACGTTCTTCGCAGCAGCGGCTGCTGCATTGATTGCCGTCACAGCTGTCTCCCTGATGGCATTGGCGGCGTGTAGCTCTGCCCTGGCCGAAGCTTTGTTGGTCCTGCTGCCTGGCCCTATGGCGTTGCCCGGCGTCATGCCCACTTTTCTGGGCTGGACCCTGACTTGGTGGCCGAACTCCCTCGCCATATCATTTATTTCTTGGAGCAGGTGCTCCTTTTCGGAGTATTGCTCCTCTGTGCCAGACCTAATGTTTGAAGAATAAGATGGAAATGATTGCAGCAGGAGTATTTCAATTCAACACAAGGTGATTTAGTATCTTTAATTGTTAGATGTGAGTTGAGTTGTTAAGGTTTAGCATATCTGCACGCAACAGCCCTGAATTTTATTTAGTCACACCTGCAGCAAGTAACTGCCTCATGAAAAGTCATGCTGCATCAACATAGCCATTGGCTCTTATCAAACAGGAATACAAAACTCTGCATCCGATCAATTTTCACATTTTGTCTCATGTGGTCAAGCCACATGGGTACTTAAAAGGTCATCCCCGTGAGCAAGGGAAGAGGAAAATAAAATGTACAGTGGGAATCGATATGAGCTGACTAAAAAACGCTGGCCGGGGCGGTAAAAATCACTGGAAAATCTGGGAAAGAGCAACGCAGACCATCTCTTTATTAATTTCGGAGCATTGGAAATAGAACGAAAATAAAATGCGTTAAACAACGATTCCCTTGCAAAATATATGTTCCGTAAAACAGACTCCCAATTTCACAAGATATAAACTCCGAAAACACGACACCCGTACTATGAATACAAATCTGGCGTATCCGTGGCTGTGCCCTCATTGCATCACCGCTTGCCAGTCCTGCACAGGTCAGTTCAGGCAGTGGATCTCAGAACGAGCCGCAGACCGAATGTTTCGCCGATTTCAGCTTAAAATACGCTCAAGGAACAGAGGTTACTGTACTTACTTTCTTAAGTTCGCCCTGTCCTCTCGACGAAAGTGGCCGAGTAGCAGGTCGCAGCGTTCGCGTATGGCACGAGCTGTGAAGTTTTTCCCGGTTGCTTTGTTGACCATCTCTGTGACTGCTCGCCACCTGTCGTGGTCCTCGAATGGGTTTGTCGCTGCTACCTCTTGTAGCAGCAGAATGTCGTCTGCCACGACGAAGCGCGACCGCACAGCGGGCACATTCAACGCGGCAGACATCGCGGACATCTTGGAAGTGATCGAGAACGCTGGCTCTCCCCGGCCTTCCCTAATCTCGCAACGACTCGTTCTCGCGAGACCCGCGCTAGCACATCCCGCTACCTCCCCCGCTATTTTTGCAGAACAGCGCGCCTCCGCTAGCCTCCGCAGCTCCGCTAATTTTCCGCTAGCAGCGCGCATGCGCCGTAGCGTCGTCGCTCTAGCGTATAGCGTAGCGGGAGAGCCAAAACGATCTACTAAAACTCTCTATTAATTCAGCTAGCTCAGCGGTACCCCTGGATCTACGAGAGGTATCGTAGGGACCACAAGGACCAGGACGAGCGAAACAACTCACGGGAAGGCATCACGCAGGCGATGGAGATCGCGGACCGTAAGTACGCATTTGCTGACATCGGAGTTCTGCGAATATGCTTTTTCACGCAACCTTTCCTAACTTAGCGTGCACATCTTTGTGCTCTTGGATGCGGCGTGTTGTGTAGGTTTTTTTCTTTCTTCGTGTACTTTTATGAGTGATCGAAATGGTCGTGGTCATTCCGTGAAACATTTTGGCGATTTACATACTCGTGATAGGCATTCCAACACACACGACACGACCATGGCTCGTATGCTTCCTTTTTTTGCTCGCTGCACACGCCAGGTCTGTATAAAACCAAGATTATGCTTGGGCAACTTGCAGGCAAGCGCATACCCCACGTTCTTTGAAAATCACCGGTCCCGCAGTTTTTCGTAGTGAACGGAGCCCGTGGTGTGCACACGTGTGTGCCGGTAGGAAAACTATCTGACATCGCGCGAAAATTTGAACTTCAAATAGTTTCACAATTTTTCTGGGAACGAGCTCTTGCGCGATAAAACGCGCGAATGCGCCTTTAACGTACGAAACCTTTTTTATTTGCGAGCGGTACATAACATTGGCTTCTTAAAAATAGCGTCGACCCTAGTTTTTAACTTTTCCAGTATTCGTCCATTTTGGGCTAGTACTTCTTAGATCCCATGCAGCCTAGAAGGCATCTGTGATTCCCTTATGGCACCTGTGTTGTGTGTTTCTATTTACGTTCGGCAAAACATCTGGTGTGAAATTCTGGAAACGTACACTGAAATGACTGAAGACTGTGAAATATTAACTGTGAGAAGTAATAATCAAATTTTCTCGGTTGTATATAGGCCGCCGTCAGCGTCTTTTGAAAGGTTTGGTTTGTTTGTGGATAGATATCTCGACTTTATATCGGTAAATAAGTTAAACCTTTTTCTAAGAGGGGATTTCAATGTAAATACTTTGCAACATTCGAATTTTTCGTCGCAATTGAATAACATTATAAGCTCACATGGTTTCATGAATGTTATCCAGTCTCCCACAAGAATAAATATTTCCTCCTCAAGCGCCCTCGATCTTTTAATTACAAATGTTTGTGAAAATGTTCATGACGCTGGTACAAACGCTAGTGACATTAGTGACCACATTCCCATATTCATAACCGGTTCCTATAGCACTTTCGTAAAAAGCTCAAATAGAGTTACATATGTCTTTCAGAACATATCCGAGCGTAATTTGGGAAAGTTTAGGATAGAGATCTCCCACACTGACTGGGACCCAGTTTATTCTAAAACATGCGTAGATGAGGCGTACAACGCATTTATTGACGTCTTCAGCAAAATTTATAGCTCGAATATTCCCTGGGAAACAAAAACAGTTGCTAAAAATATTTGGAAGCCCTGGATCACACCTCTGCACCTCAGAAAGCTTAAAAAGAGGGATCGTTTGTACAGGTCCTTTTTATCGACGGGAAATCCCGATAAACTGATAATTTTTAAGCAATTTCGGAACCGCCTAACATCTGAGTTACGGAAAGCTAAGCAAGAGTATTACACGCAGCTCTTTAAGAAAAATTCTAAAAAACGCCCAGAAATTGTTTGGAAAACTATAAATGAAGTTTTACGCCGCAGTGGACAGCGTAATGATGATGTAGGCGAACTTTCAATCAATGGCAAAAATATATCGGGAAAGTTGTTAGCAGATCACTTTAACACAGCTTTTGTAAATATAAATGCACCACCACATAATGTAAATGCTTCAAACTTTATTGAACACACAGTACACGAGACACTTTTTCTACCGCCGACTGATGAACACGAAGTATATAACGCGTTTGCGGGTCTCAGCAACAGTAGAAGCTGCGATACAGAGGACTGACAAGTTAGGCCTGTGAAATTTGTTCTTAATACCATCGCGACTTGCTTGGTGCACATTTTTAACCTTGCCTTGTCATCAGGAACATTTCCCCGTAAAATGAAATTAGCTAAAGTATCTGTTATATTTAAAGAAGGAGTCAGAAATCTCTTAACGTACTACAGACCTATCTTTATACTTCCAGTATTTTCCAAAGGACTTGAAACGATTATTTAAAAACGCCTAAACTCTTTCTTTAATAAGCATTCTGTGTTAACGGATTGTTAATTTGTTTTCCATAAAGGAAAGTCTACAGAATCTGCATTACTTCAACAAAAGGAAATTATTTTGAAAAATATGGAAAAGTGATTATTTACCCTAGGCATATTCATCGATTTTAGTAAGGCATTCGATTTCATCAACCACAAAATTATATTACATAAACTATACTGCTACGGTGTCCGTGGCCTACCCCTATCTCTTTTTTACTCTTATCTCGAACAACGTGCCCAATGTGTTGTGATCGATGGTCATACATCACCTTTTCTTAAAGTGCGACGTGGTGTCCCCCAGGGCACCACGGGCCTATGTTATTTAATATATATATATATTAATGACACCGTAAACATCAATAAACAAATAAAATATATAATATATGCTGACGACACGATCCTATTTCTTGCTGAAACGAATGTTGAAAAATTAATAGCCGACGCAAATAATGTCCTTAGCCGGATTTTTATATGGTCCAACAGCAATGGCCTTAAGATCAACATCCAGAAAACAAAGGCTATTGTTTTTCGACCGAAGAACAAAGCTGTAGCTATTAACAACAACATTACAATTGGTTCTACACCAATTGAGTTAGTAAAAAGTCATAAAACGCTTGAAATAATTTTTTCTGCGCACCTTTTGTGGAATGACCATGTCGATTATCTCGTCAAGAAGCTGTCCAAAGTGGTTGGAATCATGTCACACTGTCGCTCTGTTTTTCCAGTTAATGTTAAACTACAAATTTACTATTCACTATTTCAGTCCTGCATCAATTACTGTCATCTTATTTGTGGGAAGACTACTCAAATAAATATTAAAAAGCTTACGTTACTTCAAAAGAAAATGCTCCGCTACATTTCCAATGAACGCTACATGGCTCATACAAAGCCCCTATTTGCCCAATATAAAGTAATTACCATTAAAAAGATGTACGACTATAGACTGCTGCATAGTTTCCGCTTTTCAACTTCTGACCATATTTTGTTTTTATGTGAAATGGCGAACCTCTCCGAACATCCTCATCGCATCAACACGCGCCTCTCGGAAAGATGGATCATACCTCGAGCTCGTACTAATTATACTTATCAGTCAATCACTTATCGTCTACCTTCATTACTTAACCATTTACTTACCAACAATATTGATATATATAACATGGGAAAGAAATTATTATTGATGTGCTTCTTATAGTCCTGTCGGACATTGTGTTTAAATAAATGTGAAATAATTTTATTGTGTGGTATATCTATTCTTGTTAAAAAGGTTTTTTCTGTGCAATGTGAAAAATGGCTGCGTACGCTTTTTTTGTTGTTGACATATTGCTTCTTGCTAACCGCATTGCTCTTTTAGAAAGTGTTATATTTTGTAGATATTATAAACAGAAGCTGTGCGTACATTTTTCTGGTTTGTGCGCTTGTGTGCGACCTTAGTATTTTTGGTAAATATTGGTATTTTGATTTTGGAATTTCGTATAAAAATATTTTAGCGTGTTTTATTTTTTTTGAAAGTTAGTCCCTGCTGCCAATCTCCAAACGGTCCCCAGACCCCGTCAAGCTGCCTCTGGCAGCTTTTTGTATGGGGCACCGTTGGCTAAAAGGCCAAAAATAAAGATTGATCGATTGATTGATTGATTGATTGATTCTGAATCCTTAGTTTGCGCACACTGAAAGCCTAAGGAGCGTACTACGCCATTTGAGTTCAAAACTTCGTCTCTGCTCCTTGCACATTTTAGTACAATTATTTGATGCTTGTGCGACATGTCCCACAAAGCTATCTACACGTTTTCAGTCTCCTTGTGCAAATTAAGGTGGAAGTATATCTGTGACCAGTACATATGGGAGGCAGCGAAGGTGGCAGCTTCAGGGCGCAGTGGATGTGGCACCTCCGACGTCTTCAAGCCGGAGTGGGCCTATTTTGAGAGCTGCCGTTTCCTGACTGGCAACTCTATTGTCTCACAAAGGTGCGCTGGTAATATTCTTAATTTTTCTCTACCTTGTGTTCATCTGTCTCATTTAGTAAGTGGCTACATCACTCTTTCTGCTGCGTTTCACTTAGACTTTCGAGTGCTACACCATCCCAAAGCCAGTCTCTTTTTCCAGTTTCAGGCTCGAGCCTTGGTCGAGGGGTGAAGACTCCAGAGACCGACTTCATATCCTTACCTGTGGAATTATCACATGCATCCCCACACTTTCCTTGCCCACACTGGCTTGTGGGGGCCAGATCAAGCCAGCTGGTTTCTCAGCAGAGCCTGACTGCTAGAGGCGCGCCGCCCATTTGTTGGATAGGAGTCGCACATCACAATGGAGCAACGTTACTAGAACACTCAGTTGGGAAACTCGCCGTCGAAACCTGGGCCGCTGGCGTCCACCGAGAGCAAGCTAAATGCGACAACAGCGCCACTCTTTATCATTTGTCTGTACTGTGGTCACCTTGAGCTTTTAGAAAGCATGTTTTTGCGTAAAAACAAACGGAGAAGACTCCTTTTTGTATGAAATTTATTGTTGTTTAGTACAAAATGATGGGCGTATAATGTTTTTATTATCTTTAGTTTGCAAGGTTTTGCAGAACAATTAATATTGCTGTTATACAACCATGCCTCAGCGGTCCTTTCAGGTAGCGCGTCCCGACCTAGGCGCGTTTTAACTTCGGTAGTAATTTGCGGCGCGTCCGCTGGCGAGATGGGGGTGGCACCCTTGTAACCTCTTCCGCTGTATCTGTTTCGGCGCTAAAATGGCCGATTAAAGCCAAAATAGGAGTAACGTGCAGTCCTCGAGTGGCCGCTGCGGGAGA